GGGGGAGAGGGTGTGGGGGTATGAGTTCTCATCTTCAGTCTGAAGGTCTGAGAACCAGGAGCACCGATGTCTGATGACAGGAGAAGACGGACACCGATGTCTGATGACAGGAGAAGATGGGCAGCCCAGCTCACGCAGGGAGCAGATTTGCCTTCTTCCATCTTCTGTTGTACTCGGGCCATCAACAGATTGGACGACGCCCACCTGCACTGGGCAGGGAGGGCAGTCTTCTTTACTCAGTCCAGCAGTTCAGATGCTCATCTCTTCAGGACACACCCTCACAGACGGACCCAGAAATAGTGTTTTATCCGTATCTGGGCATTGCCTTGGTCCAAACTCACACATCAAGTTAACCATCACGTGTAGGTAATACCAACAGTGTCCATGTTTTAAATGTTTCCTGCTCTTTTTATACAAGAAGGGGAAATTGTTCATTATTGTGAACATACCTAGCTGACTTTAGAGTCTCCAGAGACCAGAAGTGACTCTGTTTAGGAATGATGGGAAATGGGATAACAGAGATAAAATTCCATTTTGTTCTTTTTGCTCTACATACCTCAACTTTATACTGACACTGGCTACCACAGGGTCTCTACTGCATGGATGAGCTGGGAAGTGACAGCATGCATTTATAATTCTGCCACTGAATGTAAAGCCTTACAAAGTCCCTTTGGCCAGCGAAGACAAGCTTCACAAATGAAATTTGAGATAATTATTCTGATATTTTTCCTGGGAGGTTATTATGAGGTGTTTCACATTGATTTTTGATAGTGATTTTTTTTTTTTTTTAAGTGCAAAGGCAATAGCTAAACCAATTCTGGCATATCCATACAGTGGAATAGTACTCCAGCAATGAAAAAGAACAAGCTAGTGATACACACAGCCATGTAGATGGATTGTAAAAGCATTTATATACTGAGAGAAAGAAATCTTATGCAAAAGCATATGCACTATGTGATTCTGTTTATATGGATTCTAGAACAGGCAAACTAATCTTTTTCTTTTTTTTTTTTTAACGTTTACTTATTTTTGAGAGAGAGAGAGAGAGAGACAGATTGCAAGCAGGGAAGGGGCAGAGAGAGAGAGAGAGGGAGACACAGAATCCAAAGCAGGCTCCGGGCTCTGAGCTTGAGCTGTCAGCATCGAGCCCGACGCAGGGCTTGAACTCAGAAACTGTGAGATCATGACCTGAGCCAAAGTTGGATGCTCAACCGACTGCACCATCCAGGCGCCCCAGCAAACCAATCTTTGGCAAAAACTCTAATGACAAAAGTGCTTACCTGGAGGTGGGTAAGGGCTAGAGACAGGTTGGGAAGGGATATGAGGGAATTCTCTAGGGTGTAGATAAGAGTCTGTATTTTGATAGGGGTTGGGTTACAGGGGTGTGTACGTTTTTCAAAAGTCATCAAATGTGCTTATGATTTTATTGTATGTAAAATTTACCCGCAAATGGAAACAAAATAATGATATAAGTGTTGAGATCTTTAGCAGTGAAGTGTACCGATATCTGTATTTGACTTTGAATTGTGATAACTATAACAACAAAAATGGATTGATGAATACACAATAATAACGCAATAAGGCAAATGCAAAAGTGAATTATAGAATCTAGCTGGTAGTTATTCAGGTACTTCTTGGCCAATTCTTTGCATTTTCCTATAGGTTTGAAAATTTTATAATACAATGTTAAAAATTGAATTCCAGAAAAAACCTATTAATATAAAAAAACACAAAGCATGCAGTGGTTAGTGTTTTTGGTGATACAATATTCTTTTTTTTTTTAATGTTTTATTTTATTTTTGAAGGAGAGGGAGACAAGGTGTGAATGGGCGAGGGGCAGAGAGAGAGGGAGATACAGAATCCTAAATGGGCTTCAGGCTCTGAGCTGTCAGCACAGAGCCTGACGCGGGACTTGAACCCACAGACCGCAAGATCATGACCTGAGCTGAAGTCAGACGCTTAACCTACTGAGCCACCCAGGTGCCCCTACAATATTCTTTTAAGCACTGAATATCCTTAGAGAAGTTTAGCTATTTGTTAAAGGTAAATGAGAATTTATTCTACTGTCTTTGCTCAAAATGCTGCATAAAAGAGACATTTAAAATAATAAACACATAAGAATTTTGATTTCACAATACGAATTGTTATGAAGTTAAATTTATGATTAAAAACTACTTAAGATCATGTTTTTGACTACACATCCTTTCATTTTTAATTTTTCTTTTTGTCAGTCTCCATGAACTATCTTTAAGACATGATAGGTTCTGAAATCCAAAGAGGGATAAGCCGGTGATAGAATTCGATCAAGAAGAATGTACTAGTTAAATGATATAGATGAACTGATAAGTATTGTTGAAAATATTGATTTTAGGGTACAAATCATATCACAGCACTGACTTTTTATACCCTGAGAATTACTGAAAATCAGAAAGACTGGAATATAATTCAACATGATCGTGACAGATTAGAGCATTGTATTTTTTCAGAAAGACAAAATTCAATAGGACCATGTACAAAAATATACCGTTCCAGACCAAAAACCAACCAATGGGGAAGGACCAGTTATGAATCTAGGGTGTCAGCAGCGACCATAGTCAGCCCTTTTCACTGAATATTCACTGTCCTTGTGCTAAGATTGAATTCAGCTTTGTTATATATATTTTTCCTTTTCCAATTTTTTATTTAAATTCTAGTTAACATGTAGTATAATATTAGTTTCAGTAGTAGGGCTTTGTGACTCATCACTTATATATAACACCCAGTGCTCATCACAAGTGCCCTCCGTAATCCCCATCACCCATTTACCCCATCCCCTGCCCACCTCCTGTCCAGCAACCCTCAATTTGTTCTCTGTCTTAAGAGCCTGTTTGATACATATTTTTAAGTAATATGGAGAAATAAGTAAAGATTTAAAGAGGAACAAGATGACTAAAATAATGAAAAACTGGTCCTAGGAGGAAAATCTGAGAGAAAAGAGAAACTTCTCTGAAGGCTTCAAGATTGAAAAGGTTAAAGTTCTGCTTGATTTATTACCATTTTCAATTACATGAAGTGTTTTTACGGAGAGATCCTATGAAAACTAACAAGGGAAATGGATTGAAGTTAAGAGATAATGGAGTTGTGCAAATGGGAGAATCCCTGGACTTCAAGGTTGATCAGACTCTGGAATAATTACCAGGTGATGCTGTGGACCCTGCATCCCTAGAAAATATGGAAGCAAAATAGAAATTCTGAGTGGATCTAGATTGACCTGCCAGAGGTCAGGGGAAAACTCAGAGGATCCGTGAAAGGACCTGACTGGGCCTGTGTTCTATTAATAATGTTTCGCTCCATGTAGGAGTTGTAAACACAGCTTGGTATTAAATTACATTTTTCTTGGGGTGCCTGGGTGGCTCAGTTGGTTACGCATCCAACTTCAGCTCAGGACATGTTCTCACAGTCTGCGGGTTTGAGCCCCACGTCGGACTCTGTGCTGACAGCTCGGAGCCTGGAGCCTGCTTCGGATTCTGTGTCTCCCTCTCTCTCTGCCCCTCCCCAGCTCGCGCTCTGTCTCTCTTTGTCTCTCTCTGTCTCTCAAAAATGAATAAACATTTAAAAAAATTTTTTAAACATAAATAAATTACATTTTTCTAGGCTTTCTATAAGGACTGGCAACTTTAAGTTCACTTAGAAAGTCACTGTTACTTTACAACTGCGTGACTGTGGATAGCAATACTGAATTGTATGCTAGAAATTTGCCAAAGGAGTAAATCTTAGCTGTTCTCACCACAAAATAAGGCGGAGGGGGGAAGACAGCCATGTGAGGTGATGGGTAGGTAAGTTAGCTCGATTGTGGTGGGGACTGTCCCACAATGTACAAACATGTCAAAACATGAAGTCGTACACCTTGAATATAAATACTTTGTGTTTGTGAATTAAACCACTGAAGCCAGAAACAAATCACTGTATCGAATGATTCTTCCTTTCATTGGGCTTGTCTCCTAGTAAATGACTACATGTTGCTTTGGTGACTGTAACACTGTTCTTAATGTACCTTCCGTACCTTATAATTACTATGAAATAATTACAGTGCATCCTGTCATTTTCTCTTCAATGTTACAATGTGATCCTTAGGCGTACATTTGTTTACATTTGTTTTTTTGTTTTGTTTCATTTTGTTTTATATTAAACTTTTTATTAAAACTGAGTCTTCATGATATATTTAAAAGGACATGTTCCACAAACAAATATTTGGACAAAAAATTTTCTATATGTAATTATTCGCACATAAATTTAAAATAAAAACTAAGCTAAATATTTATATATATATATTCATGTATACATATTCATGTGTGTGTGTGTATACACACACACACACACACACACACACACACACACACGGGTGTATCCAATTCATGTCAGTGATCTGGAATACCTGAGTTTCAAGCTGTTGGTTTTCCAGATAGTGCTAAATGTTTTTCACCCACTTTATAAAGGACACAGTCCATCCAGAAAGAGTAACTTTGGTTAATAGATGCTGTCTCCCAAAGATAGCACAGAAGTCCTCAGTGGGATTCAGGTTTATCTTCAGAGGTTTCTTCCAAGTGGAGGTCAGTCGGTGATGCAAGGAAGGATTCCCGTGTAGCAAGGCACTGTTCATAATACTGGATATTCTCCTCAGTCATATCTGTAAATGCTGACTTGATATCATTTTGCATATTATGTCTCCATCTTTCCCAGTCTGCTTTCAGGGCATTATTAGCGCATTCCACTTTATCTTCAAGTTTTCCAGTCTCTTCTGTAAGCAGATCAGTATCTGCCTTTTTATAGGTCAAAGCTTCCTCTTTGGGTCCAGTTCTGCTTGTATTTGGTCTCTCCTTTCCATAACACCCATTAACATTTCACTATAAAGTACATACTCATGTGCCACAGGAAGCAGGGCCTCTGAGAGTCCACACGTCCGTTTTTCAGTGGCCTTACAGCATTTGTCAACGCAGCTGGCAATCCCTTTTAGAGCATCAACCAGATCTTCTGACGCCGACCACAGAATATGGATTGGGCCATATGCTTTCATTTCATCAGAACATTCCCTTTCTTCCTTGTAAGTTCTCTGAGATATTTTGTCTGTCAAATTTATTTCCTGGCTAAAAACTTCAACAAAGTTATTCATTTCCGTGAACCCTTCTGGGCGGCTTTTTACTCCTCTCATTGCAGCACAACAGCTCTGACTGTCTGCCCCATCCTGCTGAGTAATCCAGGCCCTTGCTTCTTGTGAGAAGACAGCTCCCAAGCTGGTGCAGTAAGAAATACTTTGAAGTCTTCATTAAATGTTAGAATTGGGTGATCAGCAATTCGGTTCGGGAACTTACGTAGCGCCTTCCTCCGTGTTTCAATGAAGTCATCGTTAAAGCGCCCCACCATACCTTTCATGATAAACTTCTCAGGCAGTGGTGGAATAATCAGAGTGGGATGTGCGTCTTCAAGTTTTCCTTTCAACCAAAGGAAATCTTTT